ACGCAGCTTTCCTGAACAACAAACTGATTTTGATTCTGTGACAGCAAAACCAGGACACCCCTTATCCTGTCACTACACTCCCTGATAAAGAGTCCCTCCCCATGTTTCCTGTAGCCCCTGTTTAACTACTGGAAGGCTGCTATAAGGTCTCCCTGGAGCCTTCTCTAGACAGAGCTACCTCAGCTTCCTCAGCCTGTCCTCATAGGGGAGGTGCTTCAGCCCCCTGACTTGCACAAATATCTGTTAGCAGAGCCAGAGATGGAAAACTTACTTGCCTGACTGGCAGCGTGCTTCTATATCAGACCTCCCTAGCTCTGCTTTGATAATTGATTGTGAGCTCTTAGTAAAGATAGATAAAACAGATCTGGGCTAGAGGCTGTATCTGAATCAGTGTGACTAAATGAGCGTCTTAATCCAAAGAAGTTTAAGCTAACATGTTTTACTGTGCTTTGAGACAGACTAAGCAGGTTTACACAGGCAATTGCTGCATCTCACCCCATGAATGGTAACTTGTTAAGCTTGTTGGTATGTTTGAGCCCTCTATGTGCCCAGCCTTTAGGAACAGGAAGGGAAATACAAGGATTGCTAGTATTCTTGCTTCTTATTTCTCACTGTATAAAGGAAACTTGAGTCTGACTGTCTTGTAGAGAAGAGCGTTTGCTTTTCCATTGTTGTGCTTTTTTTTTTTCCCCTCCACCACTCTGACTTTTGACTGTCACTTTTGACACCTGACCGTGAACTCTTAGAGAATGGTTAGCACTTCAGGATTAAATCTGTTAGAGAAGGTTCATGGTAAGGGCAGCAAGGGAGATAAATGTGTTGTTCTAACGGTTGCAGCATTTGGATCGTCATAACTCACTGCAAACTGGTGTTCTTATGGAGGGAAGGAGATACCTGGAGAAATGAATAGCCCAATGACTTTGATGCATTTTCTTGATCCCTTTCTGTCTGTTATGCTATAAAGTCTAGTGAGATCTGTACAAACTCTTCCAGTGATGGGAAGGAAGTAGTCTGCTGTGATATTTGTGTTGTGAAGAACGGTAACAAATTCTTGTGTCACTTCACTTACTGACAGGATGATTGATGAGGAATTTAGTTATCAAAGCACTATCATGCATCCTGATCTCTGCTGCTTTCTAGTCCTCCAGTTCAGTTAATAGAAGCTGTAGTTGTAGAAGATTTATAGGGACTAATACCACGTAGTAGTTCAGGCTTCTTCAAAGTCAGAATTGGTGAGCTCTAGAATACACCTTAGATTAGTTTTCTAAAACAATAGGGGGACAGTGTACCTCTCTTTAAAGAGAGCCATATGGAAAACTGTACGAACATTCATGCACAAACCCTATTTCCCTTTCCCTA